ACCTCTCCAACGGCACCCACGAGTCATCCCCAACCTTGGTGAGCACCCTGTTCCTAGCGACGGTGGCGTGCCGGACAGCATGAGGCCACATAGAGTTGCTCAGCCCAGATTCTATGAGCAGCGCCCTAGCTGTCTCCAGAATGGTCCGGTTTGCCCGTTCTGCTACACCATTTGACTGTGGGGTATAAGCCGTGGTCAGCTCTCTCTGGATGCCCTGCTTCTTGAGCCAGGCCGTCATTTCAGCTCCAAGGAACTCACCACCCCGGTCTGTCCTAATCCGCTTCACTACACACTCCGCCTGCTTCTCCACGAATGGCAGCCAATCGTCCCGTATCGTGGAGGCGGCGTGGTCCTTCTGCTTCAGCAGATACGCCCACATCAGCCTGCTCCAGTCATCCACAATTGTAAGAAAATACCGCTCCCCCTTGTGCCCTTGCACCGGCAGCGGCCCCACCAAGTCCATGTGGACCAGCTCCAAAGGCTTCTTGCTCCTGCCAGCCACACTATGGAAAGGGAAACGGATGAACTTTGAAAGCAAACAGATTTCACAGTTGTCATCGGGTGGCTGTCCGTTCAGCTTCAGACCCTTAACGGCTCCATCCTTCTCCAGCTGCTTCAGCAAAGGCATTGCCACATGCCCTAAGCGCCGGTGTGCCGTTGCCCAATCTGTCTCCCCAGATCTGGCCGACACTTTCACACCAACCCCTCCAACGGCATTGCACTCCCCCTGGGATGCAGACCCCTCTCCAGCCTGCCCCCCACCATGCCACGCCAGGGCCGGCAGCTGCCACATAGATCTGTACACGTCCTTGCTCTCGTGCAGATCCCAAAGCACCCGATTGCCCAGCTTCCCCTTATAAGTGCGTGCCCCATCCGTGTTGGTGTTCACCCCAGCCTTGCCAAGCTTACGGAGGGAGATAAGGTTGGCCTTCAGGTCGGGGACGAAGAGAACGTCGTGCAGCACCACCGGCTTGCCATCCGCTCCCTTAAACGCAGCTCGTCCCGCACCAGCCACCTTCAACATGTGTCCAGAGGCGGAGCACACTTCATTGATCGGTGCAGCTCGTACTTCGTCCAGCAGGTCCTTGCGCGGCGTCATCGTCCAAGCAGCGCCTGTGTCCAACACCCAATAGTCTAGGGGGTGCAGCTCTGCTCCAACTTTGGCAGAGGCGTCTCCTTGCTCCCCCTTGTCTCCCACATGGAAGAATTGGCCCGCGGTGCGCTCCTTCTTCTTCTCCGCACCGCCGTTGCCCTTCGGGTTGTTGTCGGACGAATCAGCGACCATGTTGGCGCCGTTTTTCTGGTTCCTCCGCGCGCCGCCATCCTGGTGACGATTCTGGGGGGTCCATCCATCGGGTTTCTTATAGCACAAAAACCAGGGGTGCCCTTCCTTCTCACAATACCAGCAACTCCCTTTCATTTTGCCACCAGCACCCGACTTGCCCCCACGTCCAGATTTCGCACCGCGACCCCAACCGGTACCTCCTTGTTGGTCGTTGGAGTCGTCGTCTTTCTTTGCACCGCGTCCAGCACCACCGAAGCCACGTCCTCTGCCACGTCGGCTCCCTTGCATCCCGTAGCCGCTGCTGCCGTCGTCTCCACCCCTCAGTTGGCGGCGACGGAAGTCCTCCTCCAGAATCTTCGTCCGCACCCACTCGAGCGTCCACAAGCTCTGGTTCTGCGGCAGGCTCAATCCGCTCGTAAATTGAAGCCACGATTCCGGCAGCAGCGAGAGCATCTTCAAGCACTTGGTCTGCTCCGGGTAGGTGATTCCCGCGGTCGCCAACTTCGCGTAGAGGTCGCGCATCTTGTCCAGGACTGGTTGCACCGGCTCTCCCTCGCTCAGGCGCAACGCGGACAGCTCCCTCTCCAGCATCAACGTTGCGACAACGGAGGTCGGGGCGTGCAGCTCCTTCAACACGGTCCACGCCTTCGGACCGCATTCAACCTCCGGCAGCAGGTGCATGACGTGGTGACGCTGGTTCAGCTCCAAACTCTGCGACATCAGATAGTAGCCAGCCGAGGAGCGCTCGTCCCAATCTTCCTGCAGCGTGGGGTCACTCGGTCTAGGCTCCTCCCCAATCATTAGTTTCAGCAAACCGATCTGACGGAAATATAATTGCATTTTCCAGGCCCAATCATCATAGCCCTCACCATTGAACTTCTCGACGGTGAAATTCTTCAGCACCTCCTTGACAAGCGAGCCCTGGTTTGTTCGCGCTCCCCTTGGCGCTGAAAGACCAGAATCTTGGCTGCCGCTACGATCTTGGGCTGAAGATTCACCAGCTCCCGCCGAGGTGTTGCCCGCCATAGCTACCTATAACGAGGATCACTATAACGCAGCTCTGATACCAGCTTGTTGGTGTAAGGGCCTAATAAACTCAAGCTATTAGGACTTAATCAAACTTAAAACCTCTCATCGGGGTCACCTCCAAGGGTCCCTGGGTGCCTGGTACAAGACCAGCCCCTATCCTCGGGTCCGAGTTTGTAGAGAGAGGGATCAAGAAGGACTTAGTCAAAACAGCAAGAGTACCTTGAACGTCGCGCAGCGTGCCGTGCAGACCGTCGGTCGGATTAAGCTGAGAATTCGCTATATCGAAGCTCGCTCCAAGAGCTTTAAAATGAGCCAAGTTGCCTCGCGAAAAGTTCTGCCATTACTAAGTTCTGGCTCGGACAGCGTTTGCCTAGCGTTGGAGTGCTAGCATACTAGCGTTGACTCGGGTAGCATTCCGCCGTCGAATAGCGCAGAAACGAAATTCCAGCGAGGAAGGAATTCGCTTGAATCAATTTTGACTATATTCAGGTACAAACAGAGAAGGATTAAATAGTTCTAGCTAGCAAGGACCTTGGGAATCAACCTGGGAACAACCAGGGATGATCCCAAATAATTCCAAGCAACAGAACCAACCTGGCTGGACAAAATAGCAGGTGGTAGGTTGGTAAACAACCTCTGGTTCTGTTTTTCCAACCTGGGAAAACAACAACCAGGTTCAGGTTCTAAAAACAGAACCTGTTTTGTCTTTGCCCAACCAGCCAAATGCTGGTTCCGCTGGTTTCCCCTGGCCTTGTAGCATGCAGATACAGACAAACAACATCCAACCTTCACCTAAATTGTACCCCTATAGTGCCTTCCCTGCTACACTATAGTTAACCAAACAAAACAGTACAATTTCGAGTTGGATAGAACTGAATCTGCGCAATCAACTCAACCGAACTGCAAAGCTTCCATCTTGGGTTCCTTTGCGAGCTCGTCCTTCCTGCTTGCACTGTTCATAGCGCGTACAATGTTGTGCCGAAGCGCACATTGCGCGAGTACCTGCAAATGCATCAAGCGAAAAATGCGAAAGCAAACAAACACACGAACACACCATTCACACGCAAATACATTCGCACACGCATACTCGTACAAACAGACTGCAGGATGTCGTGCAATGTAAATTTGCACCCAACACTAACGTCATTCTGCAGATGTCAAAGGTTCTTATCGCAGAAGGACTCGGCTACAACTTACTCAGCGTCAGCCAACTCATGGCAAAAGGGATTCACCTCGAGGCCGACAGCACCACTCAGGAGTTCAAACTGTACAACAGGAAGGGTGGACTCTACATCAGGAAAGCGGTCTTGAAGAATAGCGTCTTTGTCCTCGACTTCGTCCCAGACGAAGGCAACGCAGACGGTGACGCAATCGTCAACTTCACCACTTGGACACACCCGCCGGATCTCGACCCCGACTTCAGCCCCGAAGGTTTCTGGTACTCGCAGACTATACCTGAAGCAGAACGGACAAGAGCATTAGCAACAATTCAGCAGACAACACCGGCAGAAGCAGAGACAACACTGGCAGAAGCAGAAACAACACTCGAAGAAGAAACAACAGCACCAGTCGCCGGCCCCTCAACAGTACCACCTCCCATCAACGAATCTCCACTGACTCCCGCCCAACAGCTAACTCCCGCTCTACGCGACGTCTACACAAGCGCCAACATTACCGCGAGTGTTTACTCCAACTTCAATCTATACAAACAATCACCCGAACATCGCGCCAACGAATTACTATGGCATGAACAGTTAGGGCACCCCAGCAACACGACACCGAACAATACGATAAGAGCTGGAGTTCTCGATAAGGGCTCACTACTCCTACCAGACGGCAGAGAACTTCAACAAGTTCGCGGAACTTGCTTCACCTGCCCTGAAATCGACCTACCCCATCAGCCGTTCGTCTCTCACCACAACCCAAGCGCACCAGCATACACACCACTGGAGAAGGTCTACAGGGACATACTGTATGCCCGCGAAAGTGGACAATGAGCATACAACTACGTAATCACGTTCATCGACGCCGCTACCAGATACGTTTGGCACCTCAACCTTCCGAGTCGCGACATGGCCTTTGAAGCCTTCGTCGCCTGGCTTCCAGTAGCAGAACGGGAATCAGGAGTGAAGCTGAAAAGTTTCAGTTGGACGGGGGAGGAGAATATCGTCTATGTAGATGATCTGCTCTACATAGGCTCCACCGACGGCATCACCACCTGGTTTGAAGGGGAGCTGTAGCAGGATCTCACACTCACCGTCTCCTCCACCGTAACCCAATACCATGGACTCAATATACTCGACGGAGAAAACGCAATCTACCTCAGTGCCGCAAAATACGCCAACACCATCGCAAAACGCTTCGGACTAACCCCAGCCGCCGTCTCCACACCATACCGATACACTGTCGGAAACCACAAAGAAGACCCCACTCCGCTCGGACCTGCCGGCCACGCGACGCCACTGCCGCGCTTGCAGTCTGCAACCACCTTCCGCTCGCCGAGCACACCCAGTTTTGCCAGCTGATAACGACCAAACCACTCTATGACGCTCTAGTGAAGCGCTATTCCCCCCCATCCTCTGCCGACCTAGGCCGCCTGCTGCTGTCGTACCTCTTTCCTGAGATGTCCGACTTCTCCACTATCGCTGACCTCTTGAATTATCTGCGCTTAGTGACCTTCGCTACCATGCTGCTCTCAAGCCAAAGTTTCTGGCTGGGAACCTCCTCCCCCAATGTACATCACTCTCTACTTCCTAGTCACCCGTCTCCCTGACTCCCTTCGCCCCATCGGAGACCACTTCCTGTCTCTCGACCCCACCAAGCTAACCCTAGCCTCCTTTGAGTCACAACTCTTAGAGGCTGAGACCATTGCTCACGATGTAGCTGCCTCCCGCGGCACCCCAGCACCTATTTCTTTGAAGGGTGTGCTCCTTCCCTCCTCACGCCTTCTGCTGCCTCTGCTGCTGCTGTTGTCTTCCATGGTGCTGAAAAAGCCGGTGCGACGACCGCTGCTAGCAGGAGGCACAACACGGGTGGGCGTCGGAAGGGCAAGGGTGGTGGAGGTGGCGATGGGGGTGGCGGTGGTGGGGGCGGTGGACGTGGAGGTAGTGGGGGCGGTGTAGGTGATGGTGGCGGTAGTGTGGGTGGGGGGGGTGGTGGCGGCACTGCAGGTGGCGGAGGCGGCTTGCGTGGCGGTCGTGATGGAGATGACGGGGGTGGAGATCAGGGAGCTGCGTCTGGGCGTACAGCTAGTGGAGACGGAGGTTCTGGGGGTGGCCAGCAGCAGCAGTCGTGTCGGCAGGAGACCCTCTCTCCGCAGCAGCTGCGTAAGTGGGTGGTGTGGCGAGGTGGACCCGGCGGAGGAGGTCGCTGCACCTACGTCGGGCGAACATGTACCCGCGCAGGAGACGCTTGCTGTAGGCAGGGCCACGGAGATGCACGTTGTTTTTGCCTCCTCGAGGACCCTTTCTGCAAAGACTTTGGTGAGAAGACGGACGTGCCTAACTGGTCAGGGTTGCTCAAGCAAGGCATAGATGTATTTGCTCTGGATTGGGACTAGTTCCTTGCTAGCATGCATGCTAAGCAGTTCCAGTGGAGGCTATGCATACCTTTACGCTGGACTATGGTGCATCTTGCTACTTCTTCCGCAACTGCACTATTGTCACACCACTCACAGCACCTATCCCTGCCACCTTGGCCGACCCCTCGGCAGGTCCAGTAGTGGCTCGTGGTATCAGTGTTCTGCCGTATCCGACGGTCCCCTCCGAATCCTTCTCAGCTTTCCACCTCCCTTTGTTTGCTACGAACTTGGTGAGTCAGACGAAGATCAGTTAGTTGATCACCACCACTACTCCTGGAGGCGAGCTCGACGGGATGAACCCTTTACTCAAGGTCCTCTTCCAACATGGGTGCTCCATGGATGTAGAGATCGTTACAACACAGAAACAGAAACTGTTTTAGTAGGAGAAAGGGACCGAATTATGTCCTGCTCCGACAGGTGGTAAGGGGAGAAAGGGACCTCATACGACACGTGCTAGCAGATGAAGAGTAGCAACCAGAAAAAAACAGGGTTACTTCAGCCTAGGCATCAGCATTTTTCGGGTCGGGTCAGCCTTTGTAGTTCTGACCCGCACGAGTCGAGTCAGATCGACCTAGGGTGAAAACCCGGCCCGACTACGAAAATCGAGTCGAGTCGTGTCGGGTTTTGGGTGTTGCGTGAATCGACTCGACTTAGAATCACGAAACAAGGTAACCCTCCTGACCCAACCCGACTCGTATGGGGGTGCGGTAAAACCCTCGTCGATCGATGTCAAGGGGTCAATTTTTACTCCGCGACATTTCAGCGGAAACAGAAAGCTACAACTAGTAGTACCTTTAGGGCCATAGTATGTACATATTATCCTTAGTCGCGCTACTTAAGGTTACTTACTACCGTCGCCATTTGTGTTAATTGTGTGTCGTTTGATGATTTTCGGACGACTAGGGTAAAAAGTCGAAATTTTCAGCAATGACAACTTTCTGCCGCATCACCCTGGTTAAAGCATCTACCTTTCAATCAAAAGGGAACACCACGTCATGTGCCACAGTAGCATCTCCCAGCATGCCGTGCAAGAGGCAATTAGGGTCCGCATGGAGTAAGCAGGGTAGGTGGCGGCCGCGACCAATGGGGGGAGAAGAGGAAGGGCTGCCGCGTCCAGGGGTAGGGGAAGGGGAAGGGCGGCCACGTCATGTAAGGAGGGGAGGAGCGGCCGGGTCCACAGGGGTGGGAAGGGAAAGGGCGGCCGCTCTTTGTATGTAGGAGAGGGTCGTGTGCGGGCCGGTGTCAATTTTAATTGGTATGGTTGACGGGGAATATGGGAGTTCTCGAGCCATTTCCGGGGAATAAGGTCCCTGCTGAAACGTTCCAGTTAGGCTCCATCTCCATGCCAGTGGATCCGCAGCATTGGAAGAAGGGGCGAAAAGGTGGGAGGCGGAAGAGCGACGGCGGCACGCTAGTCAGGCGCAGCGCGAGCCGACTCCCCTGCCGAGGGCCAAACGGGATGGCCCTGACTGGGTTGCGGGGCCAGGGCAGGATGGCACAAGTGGTGGAAGTGCCGCTGGGGGGTTGGGAGGAAGCGACGAAGAGGTCGCATGTGGGGGAGGGCTAGGGTTCGGGGAGGGCGCCTACCCCTACTACGCCTGCCCCTGCTGCAAGAGCCACTGCTAGGCCTCCCGTTGCTGCGCCTGCTGCTACTGCGCATGCCGCTGACGCGCGTGCCGCTTCTGCACATGTCGTTGCCGCGTCTGCTGCTTCTGCGCCTGCCGGTGCTGCGTCTACCGTTCCTACGCCTGCCGCTGCAGCTGTAGTGCCTCGTGCCCTGGGGCAGTGGTTGGTATGTCCTGGGCTTCGATCGAAGCTATGAAGATGAGTAAGAGAGCCCCAGCATATTCCGAGTTGGACCCGCTACTGGAGAGGGCATTAAAGAGAAAGGAGTCGGGGTTGGTGCGAGGCATGTATGGGCTATTGGTGAATAAGAAGCAACGATTTTTTAGTTGCCATACACAGCTGGCGTGGAATGACAGCGGCACGAGTACGCCGAGCAGGTATCTGAAACGGTTCAATTACCCTAGCCTACAGATTTGGGTGAGTCGCTACCTTGATCTGAACAAGCCAAAGGACCTTGCTTTCCGGATGTGGGCTGGGGTGTCATCATCCCTAATCAAACCAAGTGGCCATGGGAGCATGCGCACATGTGGTCCACCATTCCGGCTGGCGAGGGGGGAGCCGGTCCGAGTGGGTTGACAGGCGCAACCGCAATGGGGGGAGCAAGTAGACTACCATGGAATCATTTGTTACGACGCGGGTGTCGGCTCAGCAGCTGCGCGGGAATAAGAGCTCGCGTGAGCTTTTACTCGATTATGTATGCTTGTCACATGCCTCATTGAACTTCACTCAACCAGGTTGACAAGTGTGGCCAAATTGGGTGAGGTGGATGGCATGGCTTGAGAAAGTAACAAAGGTCAAAGTTGGGGTGCCTTTAAGGAAGGGATTTGGTGTGCTTATGGGGTTCACTTGGTTGGGGCCCTTCTCTCTCGTCATCGTCATCCCCGCCTACCTGGTTTTTAGCAACTCAAATTCTTTTGTTTGGAACTTGTGTAAATTTTCTATGATTGAGTTAAGTTTCTATGGTAACATACCCCCCAATGCACCGAAATTAATGTCCTGAGAAATACTTCACCTTCTCATGCGATTAAAATTGGGGATTGTAGCCATGATGTAGTGCTGCAACATATCTGAAATTGGTGAAGTTTCAACGGTTCGTTTTTTCGTCGAGAGCGTTTCTTGTGAAGTCGACATTTCTGTCCAAAATTTAGACGAACGGTTTTGAAATATTTTGGGCTCTAAACAGCATAGACCCCGTCCTTAATCTCTAACAAGTAGTATTAGAGCTGATTAAGTACGTTGTGCAGAGTCTACTGAGGTGTGAAGAACCTCCTAGACCCACCATGGCCCGTAGGTGTGCCTAAGTTGAGTTCTGGAGGTTGGATCTGACTTCCGCTACGGGGAAACTCTATCAAAATTTCGTTGGCACCGACAATTATGAAAAGTTTGGAGATCTTCAGTGCAGACAGCTAAGGGGGGAGCTGAAACATGAGATTGGGTGAAGACAAGATGAGTCAAGGGAGTGGAGATGCACCTGGGAAGAGGAGTGAACCACCACCATCCATGATATAAGAATATTTTTCATTTAAACAAATTACAGATTGTGATTCGATTTAGACAGGTGTGCGCTGTAAAGGAAACAAGCTCATTCTTCTTTCGGCAGGTCTTGGGGACTTGCCACCTAGTCTCATTTGCAATTTCCAACTCTATTGCGACTGCACTGCACACTTCTCTAAATTTCGTGTCACAATTGAGGCGTTGGATGGCTCCAACTACATCTCATAATTACTGAACCATTTTACATAAACTACATATACTTGCAACATACCCTAGGGTATACAAAAAAGTTGTTGAGTGCAATACACAATTTGCACGACAACCTACCGCCTATTTGCTGTTGTTAAGTGAAAGTGAGGGTTGTCATTTGAAGGTAATTTGTTCTGTGTGAGTTGCGCATTTTCGTGCTTTACGTTTCTGTGTTTACGGTTCACGAGTTGTGTGCGTTTTTGTGAAATGGTGTGTTCCTGAGTGTTTGTGAAAGTCCGTGAGTGATTGCGAGATGTCGTGTGCGTTTGCGTAGTTTTGCGAGTTGTCATGGATGTGTGGTGATTTTATGGTCGCGAATTTCTATGTTCGTGAAATTCCGTGAAGTCTGTGCGTTGTTCATGAATGTTTGTGAGGGTATATGATAGTTCTTGTTTTTCTGTTTTCGTTTGTGTTCGTGAAGAGTCGCAAGTGTTCGCGAGTTAATTTCGTGGTGGTTAAGGTCAAAGGGCGCGAGAATTTTGACCACGTGTTTGGTCTAGATTCTGCGCGTGGACCCTCAGGGCTCGAGCGTATGGCTCGCAACTGCTGTGAGCCTGTGTCTTGACACTGTTGCGCGAGGGCACAAGGCCCATGATCGCAACGTGACAGTGCACGCGAAAATATCGGTCGAGCCATGATTGCGCCGGCAGGGGCGCGCGTGTGTTTCGGGAGGTGCTGCGGGATTCTGAGGGGTGCTCGGGCTTGACTCGAGTTTTAAGTATAGTAACTGAATCTCGAGCAACGTCATCCACTGTGCGTGGCACGCAGAAATTTCGTGGGAAAGCAGCGCGCATAAAGGGACAATTTCGATACAGAGAGAAACGGTGAAAAACCGTGAAGTAACTATAAGGTTTCATGAAAAATGGTGAGAAACCGTTTTGTAACTGCGAACGTCTGTGATAATGGTAATCCCATACGAATGTTCATGATTGCTTGTGGGAAATCATGAATGTTAGCGAAGACAGTCAACAGGGGAAATTTGGCAGAAATGCAACTTGAAGTCAGTTATTCAAGCCGAATTCAAGGGCAGTTTCGTAACTGCTTTTCAAGGACTACAAGACGAAGTCATGAAGACTAGTTAAACAGTTTCTTTATGCTTTCTCATGCTTGTGTGTTAAGTGAAATAAAAAATGCGTGCTTGTCCTTGGTTGTATCAATCCTTTCAGTGAATATTTTCCTCTATCAACGTATTGACGTGAAGAGCGATTCTGCACACGAGCCATTCGTCGTCACAACGCTGCGCAAGGATTCTTGGAAGTGCTCTAGCGCACGCCGTTGTCTCAACACTTAGTGCGTCCCTCAACAACACACGGACCCTTGGTTAGGGTGTGGCTCTGCCAGTGTCAGAATGAGAAATGGATGATGCATTGATGTTGGTTGGGGTACATATAGCTAACCCTAAGTTTTGTACCCCCTAAGACAATCCTCACTATAGGCTACAACAATTGACATACCCCAATAGCCTAAGTGAGGGGTGTCTAGCAGAACCAAAAGAGTACGGTCACAAGACCAGTCCAAGAAACAAAACTCAGGGTGGATCACAACGTCACCACACACTCTGAGCACAAACACCAGTGGTCACAAGGCCAGTCCAAGATATACAGCAAATG